ACTCACAACCCTGGGTTTAGCAGGTCAATGCTCAAACCACTGAGCTATCCCTCCCCCCATTAGTTATGACTAATAACAAGAATGATACCACTTCTCTGTCTGGCACCTGGTGAAACTTCCATTTATGTTGAAAAAAATGACACTTCTCTGAGAGATGTGGTTCAAATATTCCTTCTTTAAAAGCTGACTGAAGAAATCCTAATTTTAAGATTACTTTCACAGATAGAAAGTCATGAATTCATTACTTTAAGATATAATCAGTTTGAAAAGCTCCTTTGGATCCTTAAATTTAAAGATATATATATATATATATATTATTTTTTTTTATGGTTACCCATGGAAAATAATTCCTGTGCAAAGTGGAAAATCTGCCCTTCACTTTGACTGGTTCTCTAGGTCAGAAAGTTTGAGTGATTTTTGACTGTTTTAACTTACATTTTTGGCTTCAATTTTTCTTAGTAAAATAAAGCATAATTAATGTGCCCTTTTGTTTAAAGTGTTTCATAAGGCAAGCTGGGGAGTTGGCTCTATAGGGTACAAGCACGTTTTGGCGGTAGTCTATTGAAACCTGGTCGTTTTCTTCCCCTCTGCCCATTAGAGGGAAAATATGAAAAACCGTGATCTTGTATTAGTTTTTGCGTTGCTTGACTGCTTCATAGAATTTTTCCTTTGTTTTGTTTTACTGCTACTGTATTAGGCAGTTTTGCTAAAACATGCTTTGAAGAGATCCCAGTAGATTACTGTTATGCAGTCCTCCATCATGCCTGGTTGTTTCTGATGCTAATGATCTGACATCACTGCAGAGACCTTCTTAATGACCGTTTTCATTTTAACCCACTTAAACGCATGGTTGCAATATCTAATCTCAAAAAAGTATATCTAAGTGCCAGTGGAATGAAACACCTGATTAAATGGAAAATAACTACTTCCTTTCTTAAAGAGACCTCCGGTTTGGTATCACTTCAGGAAATGCATCTCAGTGTACAACAACATTTCCAAAAGTGTGTAACGCCATCCCTATCCCCATGGAAGAGGGTTAGGGTATATATAAAAGATTAAAAATGAAGATGAGTGGGCCTTTAACATATGTTGTTTTATTTTGTTTTATTTACAAGAAGTGAGGGTTCAGCTTTCAAACTTGGAAATTCTGCTGTAGATGATGACAAAATTTAATTGACCTGGATTATAGAAATTCACTTTATTATCCTTGCAAGTTTAATATTTTAAATGTTGCTATTTCAGTTCTAAAAATAAAAATACTTTCAAATGCATCAATACTGTATCTGACTTCATTGCTATAGTGGGTCAAATTGACATAACTGAAAAATAATATTTGTGTTAAGTTCATTAAGTTAAAAATGTTTGACAGTAATTTTTTAATGTCACTATGCCTTTTTTAATGTCTGGTGTACTACTGTATATACTCATTCATAAGCCGAATATTTTTGGTAAAAAAGTGATGCATCAAAGAGCGGGGGTCAGCTTATAAACGGGTCTACACCAAAATTTGATGATTTTAAACTCTCTGGAATCGTTGAATTGAATATCTAATACATTGTCCTTTGTTCACCTGGAGCATCTGTAAGCATGGAGCCCCTCAGCTCCCTGTGGCCACGATTTGCCATTCCCAGCCAATGGGAGCTCTCGCAGCTTCCATTGGCTGGGAACGGTGAACTGTGGCCACAGGGAGCTGAGGGGCTCCATGCCTGCAGACGCTCCAGGTGAACAAAGCGTCCTGACCCGCCAGCGGCTTACTTTGGCTCCCAGCCCACTAGGGTATGCCAACAACTGAAATAGGGGTCGGTTTATGAAAGAGTCATACAGTTTTTGCGATTTTTACCTAATCATCTTGGGGGGTCGGCTTATAAAAGAACGGACTAATGAACAAGTATATATTTAAAATAGTGGAGACTTCAATGGATGTTAATATTTTTGAGAACAGATTAGCTAACCTGTTTTCTATTCTGAATAGGTTCAAGAAATTTTCTGAATGTGTGATCTTGGGTGATAGCTTTTGTCTGTGAACTGAATAATCATAATAAATGAAACCTATACTTGCTGTTCTTCTAGATCTCAAATGTACAGTATTTTCAAATAAATTGTTTTGACAAGGCTGCTTCAAATAATATTGTGAACATTCTTCTTGATCAGATTATTCTCTCTGATTATGTCCCTGTATGTGTTGCATTCTCAAAAGAACTATAAACCTAGTATACTGATGGGCTTTTATTATGGTAGAAAAGTTATCCAGATGATCTCTGGTCTCGTGGGAAGCCTCAAAAATGCACAGAGAGATGTCACCATAAATTAAGACTCGGAAGATATTTTATAAACACTTTTTTTTAAATCAATAATGAAACAAAAAATAACAAGTGGGGAAATAAATATGACCAAATGTTATAAAATTTGCAGAAATGTAGCTATTAAAGATTTTCTTGTAGTAAATAACAAGAGGTGGAAGGTATTTGCTTGCATATGTGGTTTGTTTAATAGCTCCCCTCCCCCTTTTAATAGCATTCTGTTTTCAATTCAGACTGTTTTGTCAATAAATGTAATACAAAAGCATTTGTTTAGATGTGGTGTAGTTGAACATGCAAGAAATAATGCCTGACAATATGCATTGTTGTGAGAATCCAGAACACCTCGGTTGCAAAGTGAGAATTGTGTAATGAAAAGACAAATAACTCATCACTTTTGAAGTACAGTGCTTGTAGATTGCATGCTCTTGAGCATTATTTTACACAAAAATATCATTGACTTTTTGGAGGGGGAGCAGGAGTGGTGAAACAGAATGGTTACATAGTTCTCTGAGTCATGCAGTAGTTGCCCCATAATCACATGGGCCAAAACCCTTCACTTGTGTGATTACTTCTTCAGTTTTCCTCAAGTTTTGGGTAACAGTAGTCTACCAATATTCACTGTATATATGACTTTTAAATAAAAAATTATATTAAATACCTGGCTGTTAGAAATAAAATGTAGTTTTAGAACTTCTTTTATAATACTTGCATAAAAATCCATTGGTTGCACCTTTTTGAAAGCTTCTTTTTAGTAAGTATGTATCTCCTGGGAATATACACGTCTGATTAAGACATTGATTTTACTGCCTTCATAAATAATGAAGAAAATAAGTAGGAAAATGCAAGTATCTCTGTGGGAGTACCATGTAAATATAAACAAAAAACCAGGCCTAGTTTAGGGTGAGGGATGAATAAAAGCCTTAATCCTGCCATGAATGTAGGGGACTGGACTAAGACTTCTTGAGGTCCCTTCCAGTCATATGATCTTGTGATTCTATCTTTAAAACATCAAAAGCAGGACTGATAGCTGTACACTGTATAATTTGTAGTGAAAATCTAAGCGGTAAATATCAATATGGTGTAAAGTGATTTCACTGCAGGACTTCTGATAATCCTGATGGGAGTTAAATCCATGCACACCATTTAAAAAATCCATATTTTAATTGTAACGTTATGTTTTTGCTTCAGTATGCTCACCCAGTTTGTGTTTTTCAAAATACCTACCTTTTAGAATAGCATTCCAGTGTGGGAACATATACTTTGTTTCTCTTCAGCACAAAACCATTTACTTTTATTGGTTTGTCAGAGTCACTGCTATTATATTCCAGAATACCTAAAATCTGAGCAGACATGACATTGTTTCACTTTATTTAAACAAACTGAGTGTATTTGTTTGCACTATCTCCTATAGGGAATTAATTATGTGACCATATTTATTACTCTAATCATATTATTACAGGAGACAAACTCCTTTTACAGCTTAAACATGCTGCTAATTTTTCTGTCCTCTTTCTTAATTCAGTTACATGAAATGCAAACATAGAACGTTTAACGCTGTATATTTTACGTTTTTCCAGTAAAATAAAGCCCATTTTATCCATTTGTACAACTTACAAACTATAGTTACGCATGGAAAACATGCAACTTTATCTGATTTGTGCATCTTATTTACCCAGTAATTGAATGACACTACAATACAGAAAATGTTATGACTGTGATATTAGTATTTTGTGTTCAAGATTTTATCCAGAACTGTAAAATTAATACAGGCATTCCTCTATTATTTGAGTGGTTACACTTTTAGTGAAATTTGTGTAGATGTAACAGTTTAAGTAGTTATCACCGAATAAATAAAATAATTTAAATATTTATTGCCCAGTGAGAGAAGGCTCCAGACATGGTGCAGAAAATTCCTTTTCCCCTTTGTGTATTGCTTCTGCATGGTACTCTCGAACTGCCAATGCCAGATGTGGACATGCTTCTTTTGAAAATAACTGTATCACTATTATACGCAAGGCTCTGGATTATTTGCTTCCCTACCAGAAGAACATTGTGTGTGGGCGGATTATTGGCATTTCAAGGTCTGTGCAGAGTCTGGGAAGCTGAGGCCTACAGTAAACAAAGCAACAGAAAAGAGGGGGAGCAGGGAGGGGCATACATCTGACTGATTATTTTAAGAAGGCAAGTTCCAAGAAGTTTTGAACTCCGAGGTAGTGCAGCAAACTAAATAAGGTTAGCTCTGTTCAGAGTGGCTGTGTGGATTCATTAATTAAAAACAAAAATCCCAAACCCAGGGCAGTACAGTAGATAGGTAGTATTTGTTACAGCTTTGTAGACTAACTTCCATTAAAGGACAACTTAAAAGATACAAATAGCTCCTTTAGAACTTAACTTTTGTTAGTGTGATACTTTAAAACTGCCCTTTCAGAATGCATTTAGAGAAGGAGTTTATTAAGTGTGTGTGTTTATTTAGAATCTCCTTTATTATTGTAGTGACATTTATGATACTAGGAAACTGTATTAGGCTTGCAAAGCCTCCCATTAGTGCCCGTTTTCCTTAGAAAACAATATGAAATACAGACCAAAAGTACTGCTTACTCTTTTTAAAGTTAGAAAGTGTGTAAGTGTGTGTGTGTGTGTGTGTGTAAAGGTGTACTTGGGATGAAGTCAGTTAATTGCTGCTCTGTGGTTCGTTTCCAGGTCCTTCAACAGCTTTTAAATCACTTCAGAAAAAACAAAGATAAAGTTCTTCTCTTCTCCTTTTCCACCAAGGTGAGCTCTATATCCCTTAGATCACAACTGACTTCAGCAATAAGTCCTGAGGCATAAAGCACAGGGGGCAGCAGCAGCTGTCAACCACATTTTCTTTCTCGCATGCACTATGGGAAATAGTGTTGCTATGGACAATGTGCAGTACTAAAGAAAACATCTTGAAACCTTATGTTCTCTCAAGGACAGTGGCAAGGACAAATGTAGTAATCGCCTTTCTTCTTCGGACTTGTCTTCACTGGAGTGTTAGCTGGAGTTGTCTCCAGTCATTAATAGGGCCCTACCAAATTCATGGTCAGAGGATTTTTAAAATAGTAAATTTCATGATTTCAGCTATTTAAATCTGAAATTTCACACTGTTGTAATTGTAGGGGTCCTGACCCAAAAAGGTGTGTGTGGCAGGGGGGCGGTTGCACAGTTATTATAGGGGGGGGTTGCAGTACTGCTACCTCTACTTATGCGCTGCTGCTGGTGGCGGCACTGCCTTCAGAGCTAGGCAGCTGGAGAGTGGCAGCTGCTAGCCGGGAGCCCAACTCTGAAGGAAGAGCTGGGCCCAGAGTCAGCAGCTCCCACCCTCTGGCAGCCCAGCTCTGAAGGCAGCAGCGCAGAAGTAAAGGGTGGCATGGTATGGTTTTGCCACCCTTACTTCTGCGCTGCAGCTGGAGGGGCGCTGCCTTCAGAGCTGGACACCCGGTCACCAGCTGCTGCTCTGCGGCCGCCAGCTGCTGTTCTCCGGCCACCCAGCTCTGAAGGCAGCGCAGAAGGAAGGGTGGCAATACCACGTCCCCCCCCCCTAAAATAACCTTGTGATCCCCCTGTAACTCCCTTTTGGGTCAGGACCCCCAATTTGAGAAACGCTGGTCTCCCCCATGAAATCTGTATAGCCTAGGGCAAAAGCACACAAAAGACCAGATTTCATGGTTCCTGATGCATTTTTCATGGCTGTGAATTTGGTAGGGCCCTACTCATTAGCCTAGCTCGAGTGCAGAACAACATGTGAGCTACACAGAATATTTGTATTAGCAGCACAGAGTAGTGGAGTCCCCACTGCGTTGGCATCAAGCATCAGCACCACTGAAGCATCAACCCGCAGCCTCCAATGGGCCAGCTTGCTTGAAAGTAACACACAACTTAATTTGAGCTAAACACTTTGTGTGTGAGTGGGAGATGTGTTAGCAGCAACACTCAAGTTATACATCAAGCTAACAATTCAGTGAAGCCAAAGCCCTAAATGTGGTATTCTTGTTAGTGACGAATGTTCTTTCTGAAATGATGCAAACTCAGGGTTATCTAACTAAATACTTGGCATGCCAGCATAGAAGATTACTGTCAATGACAGTTCAAGATCTCTGCTTTAATTTTATATCTTTTGTTGCTTTCAATAAAAAAAACCTGTAAAAGATTAAGGTTTTAAGTGCCACAGTAGAAAACCAATTGTGTCGTAGAGAATAAGCGGGTAAGAATGTTAAATATAAATAGAGAGAAACATTTATACTCTCAAATGGTCTGTGGGCTATTAGAAATGATATTCAGGATACCTAATCTTTGTGGTTGTTATGGTGCTTATTTTAAAAGATACTAATAATGCTTTATCTCCCCATCTTTTTTATCAGTTGCTAGATGTGCTGGAACAATACTGTATGGCATCTGGGCTAGATTACCGAAGACTTGATGGAAATACAAAGTCAGAGGACCGGGTCAGGATAGTGAGAGAGTTCAATAGCATGCAAGATGTTAATATTTGCCTTGTTTCTACAATGTAAGAGAATTTAATTTGTACTGTGTGTCTGCCTTCAGCTACGTATTTAGAGGCTTGTAGTAAAGTTACTGTGCATTCACTTGATTGATCTTGCATGGTGTTACTTCCTTGAGGAGGAGCAATAGCATTACTGTCAGCTGTTACAAGACTGTGGTGTCAGCTACATCCATTATGGGTTAAGATTACTACAGTAGAAATGGGTCATAACACTTAATTTTTGTTCTTCACATTCCTTCACTTCTGTTGTTTCTGGGATCGTTGAGATTTGAAACTGTTGAGTGATAGTTTTAAATCCCAGGCTAACCAAAGACAGTGGGGAATCACAAATTGTTCCTAATAGTCTAGTGCACCGCTGCATTCTTTATTTCTGTTCTACTGTGCATATTAAGAGACAAACTTTCAAAAACTAGGTTCTTAAGTTGTGTGTGCAAAACCAGCAATAGCATGTGAATTATTTTGTGTGCATAGTGGACCCATATGGAAAGCCATATTTTTATCAGTTACGTTTTACACCTATGAATGATTTTTATATCTGCAGTTTGAGCTCAGTTTCCTAACACTTGTCCCTTAAAGCACTTATTTCTAACAAGCTATAAAATCTTAACACATTCTATATGCCTGAAAGGGATCTTTTCATCAGTTTATGATGAATAGTGAATTCTACTGAAATAGGCTAATTAGATGTACATGTTCAGCCAAAAATTATGAAAATAGTATATCAATCCATTCATGGTTTTCTGATTAGTTACATAATCCTTTATCTTTTAGCTCATCTGATTACTATTCCCAGGCAGTGGTGCAAAGGGAACAGATACTGCCTGTTTATCCCTGGCTGTGGGGAGACTCCAGTGGGTATAGAGCCAGTATAACTGTCTCCTTTGCTGTTCTTTCCACAGTCCCAGCACAGGGTGAATGTTGGGAGCAGAGAGGTGGAGAGGCCAGAGCACGATACATTCTGGCTGTGCTTGGCCATCATAGCTCCTTTAAGACCACTGTCAGCGGCACACGTTAGAACAGCCCTCAGGCTTCTCTAACATGCATAGGTCTGGCATATAAGCAGAGAATCAAGGCTCTAGATATGCACTCTTGCTTTGCTGAGCATAACCTCAGTAATCAGAATATCTGGCCAGTGATTTCAGGGGACTTCTTGAATAAGAAACGTTAAGCAGTTTTTGGCCCTTCTAGGTGAACAGAAAATTAAAATGAAAACCATCTATTACAGGAGCCACCCTTTCTGGGAGTTACTGTATCTGTACTGTTCTAAAAGGCTTTCTACTTATAGTGAATGTTCTGTCAACCTTATTTGTTTTAAACACTTTAGGATTAGTTTCATTCCCATAATCTCATACATTTGGCGTTATGAAATAGAGAATTCAATTAAACGGAAATGGAGTCTTGCTTCATTAGTGGTTTCTTCTCCCTTATCCTTTTGAGTAGTAAGGGTGGTAAGGGAGGCCACTCTCACCAGTGTTGCTTCATGACAGCCACCTTAATTTATGATGATCTTGTCTATACAGAATTGTATATAATGTTTCACATTTCACTGAGTAAATTAGTAAAAAATATGCCTAGGATAATGTGCAGCATAGTGTACGTTCCAAGAGAAACAAAATGGTACTCTCTGTAATTCTTTAAAGTGTAGTTCAACACACACACATTATACAGCAAAAATGAATGTGTTTCTGCTTTCCGGAGATAAAGTAATCAAAGAGACTACAAGAGTCTTTCGTAACTCTCTGGAAATCTGAAGGTGCTATATCCTAGTAGCACTCCACAGGGGTTTCTGGTCTCCTCTAAATCAGAGTTCAGGCACACCAAACCAAGATCTTTTGTGCAGTCATCTGGTTGATGGAACTTTTCAGTATCTTATTTATTTCTAAACACACAATAAGTTGACAGAATTGGGTCATACTTTTCTGTCCATAGTTTCTTGCAAAGTTTTTGGCTGATTGCTCTGTTTGTATGTGTTCTGAAAGTCTCATCTTTCAAAGAGCCAAATGTTAATTTCTGACAAATCCACTTACGCTTTATTTTGGCTGCAAAAATGCATCTAAAAAAGAGTGACTTCTCAATACAGTGTATTTGTTTTTTGTCATTTTATTCCAGTGGCACAATCAATATACAACTTCAAAAAGAAGCACCAGCCTATACAATTACTGAATTATGAAGCAATAATAATGACTTCATTGTTAAAACAGTGACAGTTTCCAAATTTGTATTCTACCTTACATTCTGGGGAAATAAATCCATTCGGCCTGAAATTTCTCCTGCATAGCCTTTAGCCAAAAAATACCGGTATCTTTAGAAACATAAACTCTAATGGAATAATATGGTTTTGAGAAAAGGGGCTTTCAAAAACAGCTTTTCAATAAATATAACTTTATTTGTAAAGGCATATCTCCAGAATACCTTGATCTTAAATCCTCAAATTTGTTTTAGACACTAGTATTGAACATAATCTTGTGGATAGTCTACCTTTCAAAAATGTACTGGACAAGTTCTAAGTAATATGGAAATTCCTACCAATTTCTGGAGACCAGTAGCTATAGATTGTTAAAGATTACAAGGTCAGACACTTGTATGTTCTATGGAAGAAACAGGTTTATGGCACATATGCCCATGTCCTATCTGTTGTCACTTTTAAAGCTCCGTGACAGAAATATCTCTTTCCTTAAGCCAGTGCTGGCAGAAGAATCTGTCTTGGGAGAAGAATAAATATGGTCCATAATGCTTAGAGTTATTGCTGGTTCTGGCAGCAAACAAGTTCAAGTTGTAAATCTCATGAGAAGTAGCGCTATGATTTGCAGGAGTTACAAACTCAACTGGTAGAGCTGTCAAAGCTTGTAATGTCTGTGACACAACTTAATTTAAGGGGAGGGAACTACAGCACTTGGACATTGGGCAGCCTTGTTCCAACGTTCTAATATATCATGCTGGAAGAAATAAAAACAGCTAATATCCCCTCCTTCAGAGCCAAATATTAAATCCAATGCTCTACCCTGTCTTTCCCACGCTAATCTCCATATGCTCAGAAATCCATTCATTTAAAAAAAAATCCTGATTCTGCTTCTTACATACATGCCCCACTACTTTAAACTTCTGCAAGGCCTCGTGTAATTTAGAATCTTTGCAGCCAGGCTGGTTGAACTAAAACATCCCAAGTCATTCTTTTCAGAACTCTCAGATCTTATAACTTGAAGTAAAGCTGACATGATAATCTTTAGACCTACATTTTAGAGCTCACATAGTTAGCAAGCATTTCTGTGAAATGGACAGACCCTCATGTAATTCACACATGAGTGGCGAGTGGATCATATAACAGTCATGATCTTCAGGTTTTTTATCTGAGTCCTTCATATGTGAAGCTTACTCCATCAATTTTCTTGCAGAGCTTGAAAATTCCAAGGGGGTAGAAGTGAAGGATTTGTATATCAGTAGTCTTGGCAGTGCTGCTTGCAAGTGCCATGAGATCTGAAAGGAATGTCTCAAGAAAGTTGTAACTTCTTTTTGTATCCTTACAAAGCCTAAAAATTTCAATAGATCAACTGGAAATGCACAACATGCGTTCCAGTGCAGACTTTGGGCTTCTCTGTAGATTTTTGGTATTTCTAATATTTTTTTCAGAACAAGATTTCTTTTAAAATGCAATTTTCTTATCCTTTTGGTAATGAAAATAACCTTTTTCTAATGTGAACTAGTGCAATGATGTCTTCCTGAGCCTGCATACTGACCTGAAACAGTAGCTAGTAGAGCCATGAGCTACCCTTTATTGAAGTGGAGTTATTAATCCAGATATGAAGCCAGAAAATTAGACAATGATGGGAGATGAGATAAATTGCAATGTAATATGCACTAGAAAGAATTTTAACTAATCTCACCTATTAGTGGCTTCTAAATTAAGTGTATATAAAGTCAAGAAAATATTGTAACGTGTGCATCAGCAGTTCAAAAGCAAAAAAAATGTTAAGTTGTATAAAAGAAGGGACAGAGAAGAATAATGAAACTATTATAATGTTATAATGTACATTGTTGGTTTGTCCTTACCTTCAGTAGTGTGTACAATTCTGGTCACTCATCTCAAAAAGGAAGTGGCAAGAGGGGAAGAAAAAAATCCAGAGAGAGGCAATGAGATGGCTAATCATGTAAAGATGTAAATAATTCTAATATTTAAATCTCTCCTATTAAACTTTTGATATTAGACAAATAAGTGCACAAGATAGAAGTGTGTAAAATTATTCGGTTGGTCAGGTGCTCTTACAGGATTTGCTCTTCTTTGTAATACAAGTAAAAAGGAGCATCCAATTAAAAGATGACAAATTTTAAAATTACAAAAGAATTTTTTATGTACTATGTAATCTTGTTTGTGGAACTCTCAGCCACAAAGTGATTTTGAGACACAAAGGGTAGGATCAGACAGTTCTGTGAATAGAACTAATTACTAACTGCTTCCATAGAAACTTCCCTCTGGCATGTTGTTTTGTAACTTCTGAAGATTGTGGTACTGAGCACAGAGACAGGACACACAAGTAAATAGACCATTAGTCTGATCCAATATGTAGTCCTACAATACCATGAACTCCGGAAAAATAATGGTTTATTATAAGGCAATGTTGCAAGATCCTTAAAAGAAATGAATGTAGCAGGCTGAGCCATGAGATCTCTTATAATTCAGTGTGATTTAATCATTACTTGCTTAAATGACACTTAGAATATTACCCATTTTTAATGATTTATTTATAACGCACCAACTCATTTCTAGGTACATTCTGTTTATGAAGAAGTCATAGGGGCCTTGTCTTCTGAAACATTGTAGTATACCTAATAATTTTATAAAACTTTTGCCCCTTTAATTTTTTTTAAACATCTTGTTTGGTCTTGTCTCTCCTCATACTCAGTCTGTTATGTCCACTAATGAAATCTGAAGTATACTTCATATTTCAGGTTTCAAATATTTGGATTTTTTATTAGAAACCAATTGGAAAAACATGTTGACTTATATTTTGGTCTGACTACAGGTTTGGTAAGAGAAGCTGAATTCCATCCTCTCTAATAAGAAATATTCCAAAATACAGTGGAGGATTGTATAAAAAAAAAAGATTTTTATTCAGTATTTCAGACTTTGAGAATGCTCATCTTCCGGAAACCTCCATTAATGTTGGCAAGTTCCCACATCCTCTCCTTTTTCTAAATTTAATTAACCCAGCACTACACCACATTTGGAAGGAAAAGGCCACAACTTTATTTATATTAACAAGGATTCCACCAATTTCTTTTTCTTTTTCTTTTTTTTTTTTAAGGAAATAAATTAATTAATTAACCCTTTCCGACCACCTTAAACTAGCTTAATAGAATCCAAAATAAACTATTTTAAATATACATTTATGGAAAAAGTGTATCCAATATTTTATTTTATTTTGGGAGTGTCTCATTGAGAACATGTAGTGGCTTGCCTCCACTTTCTTCTAAAATCTTTGGAGAAACCATCATTGACCATAAGATACCACTATAAACCTTATGGAGGGGATAGATCTCATCAAGAAAAAGACATTTGTCAATTATGGTATCCACTCAAATTGTGATGACTAGTCTGCCATACATACATATATTACCTCACTCTTGCTTGTCACATCAGCCAAAGATGTATGCTTGATATTTGATTAACTGGTGCTGCTTCTAATTATTTAAACTCTATATCTACCTTCTACATCCCCAGCAAGGGATACTGTTAGAGAGAGATTCTTTAAACCCGTTAGCATTTCCGCTGGATCCAGTCTTATTGACTATCAGCCGTCTGATCACATCATACACAGGATGTGCTGAAGTGCTTTCTGGATCTGGAAAAAAAAACAAAAATCAAACACATGGCATGTTTGAAATCAAAGTCCACCTAAAACAGTCTCTCAGATATTATTACATTGGATACAAGCATTTTGCTTCCAGACGCTTTCCAGAAATTTTCATCTCTTTTTTGGGGGGATTAGAAGGAATGTGGCTAAACTGGTACTAAAGAGATTTCCAAGAGCCAGTCCTGCAACTTGACGACTATTCTCTTTGGCCCTACTCCAGTAAACCACTTAAGCATATGTCCAACTTTAAGCAAGTGAGTAATCCTTTAGCTTCAATAGGGGAATTGGTCAACTGTTTAAAATTAAGCACATGCTTAATGGGTTTGCTATATTGGGGCCTTTGTAGTCTGAACAACATTTTGAGTTGTTAAGATGTTCTTGGAAGATGCAGCCAACACATTGAGCCTAACTGTTCCCAAAAAGTCCAATATATACATGTTTAATAGGACTTTCTTATAATGACCCTCACAATATTGTCCCTATCCACTAAGTCTGGTCTACACTGGGGAGGTTACGGGGGATCGATCTAAGTTACACAATTTCAGCTACGTGCATAACGTAGCTGAAGTCGCCATACTTAGATCTACTTACTGCGGTGTCTTCACTACAGTGAGTCGACTGCTGCTGCTCCCCCGTCGACTCTGACTGCACCTCTCACCGAGCTGGAGTACAGGAGTTGACAGGAGAGTGCTCGGGGATCGATTTATCTAGATGCGATAAATCGATCCCCACTGCATCCATCGCTGCCCGCCGACAACATACCCTAAAAGGACTGCATAAGAAATGAATGATGTTTTCTTTTATCATTCACTTTTCTGTGCTTTTACTTAGCCCTCTCAATAGTTTGATTCAAAAACAGGCACCACTGCACTCTAGTACTTGTTTATCCTGCCAGGACTGCTGTACAAGAATAGCTGGGAGCGGCATTACAAACTATACCATGTTTTGGTGTAAGTCATGTAGCAAGTATCCTGCCAAAATCCATCTCCCTGTGATTCAAGAAACAAAACTGATGCAAACTCTGTAATAAGTCTCTCTTTACATAAAGTCTCTTCTAGCTGTCTCAAATGGATAGAATCATAGCTGATATAAATTGGCATAGATCTGTTGAAGTCAATGGAGCTATGTAGATTTACACCAGCTGAGGATTTGGCTTATATTATTCACTTTGAGTGTTAAGGGGATGCAGCAGGTAGTTGGGCAGCACTTCTGTTATATCAAGGTGAAAGCAGCTGTTCGTAGTTGGGCAGGTTATATAGTCTGCCTGCAATTTGAGATGGTATTGTGATTTGCTACAATAATCATGATTGTTAGGTTGTTATGCTATTGTTGTGTTTTGTAAATAAAGCGCTGGTACCAACCAGCTACCTATGTTGGTATAATGCTGTTTAATTATGTTTGGAATGGGGAAAAATGTGAGCCTACCACTAGTAAGCCTAATTTTGGTTAAATAGATCCAGAGCTAGAAATCATTTAATTTGAGTTAAAAAATGGTACTACCTAACTCCTTTTCTTGCAGTCTAAGAACTAACTCATTTTTTTTAAAAGGGCTGGTGGACTGGGTCTCAATTTTGTTGGAGCCAATGTCGTTATATTGTTTGATCCAACATGGAATCCAGCAAATGATCTTCAAGCCATTGACAGGTATAGTCTCAATATTAAAATTTAGATAGACATAGAGCTCTTTTTGTGTTCATTTTGGAAATTGATTTTCTCATGCAAATTTTCCTAGAGAACAGTCTGATTTTGGCTGAATCAGACTAGATTTAGAAATGCCTGTTAATAAATTGTTTAGCATTAATGTACTCTGCATACTGTTTAAAAAGTGAGTGAGAATTTCCCAAGCTCCTTTACCTCTGAATTTTAACTTTTTTTTATTTCCTACTTTTCAAATTGTGACATTATTGGAAGAGAGAGGTATAGGACAAAGCTGTGATTATGATAGTGTTTCATTTTAAAAAATAATAAGTGGACATATAGCCTGATGGCATTTTTCCTGAGGTTGGAACCATCATTGCTAGCCTATTTAAAAGTAGAGACTATTAAAAAAAAAATACAGTTACTGATCCAGCTCAAGAGTGATGTTGAGAAACATAGAATCCCTGAAGAAAAATAGTTGTGTCCTTATTTTCAAGCCTCTGTAATGTAGAGATGTCCCTTTTCAGCATTCAGTTTGTCTGATAGTTTGCTGTGGTGACACATGCAGGATTCTTATTTTATAAGTGTTTTATCTGAGACATTCTAAACCATAGGTTAGCATTTCACATGCAGCTCATGAAAATACTTTTAGATAACTAAGGAAACACTCCAAGGAGCCTTTAAAGTGTATAAAGCAATTGAGCTACAGAGGGTCCTGTGGCACCTTTAAGACTAACAGCAGTATTGGGAGCATAAGCTTTTGCGGGTAAGAACCTCACTTCTTCAGATGCACTTCCTTGCATCTGAAGAAGTGAGGTTCTTACCCACGAAAGCTTATGCTCCCAATACTTCTGTTAGTCTTAAAGGTGCCACAGGACCCTCTGTTGTTTTTTTACTGATTCAGACTAACACGGCTACCCCTCTGATATTTAAAGCTATTGAGTTTTGATGAGTAAAAATACGTTCTTTGTTCCATCCTATTTTATATTTTAGCTTTTAAGCTCCTCCATTATTTTATCATTTCTAACCATGTAGAGAGGATTTTTTCTATTTTCAGATACCTCCAGGAAGACTTCTCTTTCTCCCCTTTCCACTCCAAAAGTGGAAAAATGTTATGATGTTGCAGAAATGTGTGTCCTTGCAAGACTAGGTCTAGTCTTCATGGTACCACTTCTGTGAAGTTCACATTTCTCTGATGTCTTGACATTCAGTAAATCTCTTCGGTGGTTTCTGAAAATAATCTGTTGGTAGTTTGAGTTATGGAGATTTATGGAGAAGAGAAGTGAGGGCCCTAAAGAGAGAAAATGTGAGCTTTTTAAAAACATTTAATTTCTAAACTTGTCTTTTAGGAAAGTTCTATTTAAGTTTATAGTATTTCCTTTTATTGGAATTAGGATTTTACTTATCTCCAAAGGAACTCATGTTAGCTAATAACCTAGTATTCTTCAAAATCACTCTCTTTGCAGAGCATATAGGATTGGCCAGTACAGAGATGTGAAAGTGTTTAGATTGATATCCTTGGGGACCGTGGAGGAGATGATGTACTTACGGCAGGTTTACAAACAGGTAAAGTTCACAGTGTCATGGTACACGTAAAACAATAACTATTTTCAGCCAGCTGTCTGAATGAGTGAAAGCTGACCTATAGCGAAGTTGATTCTATGTTGGATTTATGACTTGCAATGTTAATTTATGCACTTGGCAAGGAAGAACTACCCACTTTTTTTCAGTGGGTGCTAACTCAGGCCAGTGATGGTATTTTAAATGCCGATATCGTTACTTATTTCAGCACTCAAAGCATGTGAGAAAGGAGATTAAGTACCTCTTATGAAGATCTGAGACAGCCAATATTGAATGTCATTCCTTAAAATAAAAATGTAAGAGCAAGTTTTAAATTTCAGTTAAATATTGGTGGGCCTGAACGAGAAATTAAACTGAAATTTAAATACATGATGGGATTGAAGGTGGGCATGATTGATTTTCATTTTCCGGAAGGGTGGGGCTTACTTTTCAAAAGTTTGGGAAATGCTGGGCTAAATGGACTTAAGAAGTGTCCATTACTCTGAACACTACCTTATTTGCAAGAGCCAGTCTCTCCTGTTAACTCCATGATCCTCCAGTGCCTCATTTTGAGGGAGGGAGGAGGAGGAGAGATGAAGTGGGGCAATCCCCATTGGTAGTATAGTAACTTGGACAGTAATGGCTGCTTGATGACATCCTACTTCTGAGGAAGCCCACTGACTTCCTTTTCCCTCCTATGGATAGTGATGACTGGCCAGGGTCATGAGAATTCGTAAGAAAGGCTTTCCCTTCTCCTAGTTCAACTTGTCCTAGTTTTGTTTCAGGACAGTTTATTGAGATCATCTGGGCAAGAGTAAAGGTTGTGCCTATCATGTGACACTTTCTGAATAGAAAATCTGAGGAATGAAATCACATGTGTGGATTGTGTCCATCCCTAGAACAGCAGCAGATAGTCACTAGTTCCTCACTTCATTTTTTCCCCAGTGTTTACTTTTACTTAATTGAAAATGTTCTGGTAAATGTACTGTGAATGAACTAGCAGAGTTCTGCTATATACCGGTAATCTAATTTTAAAAAAGGAAATCACTGTATTTTTTAAGTGTCAATAATTAATTAGCATTTATTTAAGGACTAACATCTGCTGCTTTTTGTGCTCTATTCTGGAAAGTCTTACCATGTTTTTTTTCTCAAACATACACAACTTTCTGAAAAACTTTTATATTCTTGGTTAATATCGGTATGTGTGTATTCTATTTTCTTGACTGTTACTTTCACAATGTCACGTTGTTTTATTGTGTATAGGGGTTTTCTTCTTACTGGCAACGGTGATCAATCTGAAAAATAAACAGATGGAAAGATCTGGAAGCTAAGACCTTTCAGTGGAGAACACTGTCAAAATAGGTCAATTTTTAGACCTACTAACTTTGACAACCTTCTAAACATCAGTAAACATGTTTTTAAACTTCATGTATTCCTTTCTCCATTTCAATAATTATCTGATATCCTAATTAAATGCATGTTTGGGAAACCTTAATTGAAAGCACCATGAAGAAAATTATGTGCTGTTTATGTACAAAATTTTCAGATGACTTTACAAAGACATTAGTACAGTATAAGGCATTCTTTCTACCAGCTTTGTAAAAGTTCTCTCAAAGCACTACATTTTAATTTTAGCAGGAATGTTTAGGGCCAGACTTGCACAGATCTGTGCATGAAATTGTGTACGTACATATGCATGTTACTACTGAATACAAAACTGATGTATTTGGAAGGGACAGGCTATTTACACAACTCCGACCAATCAGATACCTATTCACGTAGCTGAGCTTATATGTATGCATACAGCTATATGCATATAACTTTGAACATCTGTCTCTTAACTATAAGAATGGTCAGTTAAGATGCGCAAATCTAAGGCTCAGATTTTCATTAGATCTCCACTAACTAGGGTGACCAGATGTCTCATTTTTAAAGGGACAGTGTTGTTTTTGGGGACTTTTTCTTATATAGGCGCCTATTACCCCCCATCCCCTGTCCCGTTTTTTCACAGTTGCTATCTGGTAACCCTACCACTAATGCACCCTTAAAATCAACAGCCAGATTGGTCTGCAAACACCTGTATATCTGTACGAACAGGTAAACTGGTACCTAACTGCGAATTGCATGTGCAGTTACCTGATTTGTCTGCCCATATGTAGGCTTTTGCATGTGGAAGTGAGGAACCTACAAATCTTATGTCTGCATTGACAGAAACCTGCTCAAAATTTTGACCTGATTATCCAGAACTTGATGAAATTTTTTGGCCAAGTATGTTTTGCACAGAATTAGTCTACAGACAAAATCATTGGAAATCCAAGGCTGGTTTTTACATCTAGATTTGAATTACATTGACAGTTGAGCACCTACTTAGGCCCACGATTTCCCAGAGTTTTTCAACAAGTGTTGATAAAGAGTATAAAAACCTATTGTGACCATTAAAGAGAACACACAAACATGACAGCACTTGGACATGTGGCTTTCTCTATACGTGCAAGTGCATCCTCAAATAGACCTATAGGTTGTCTACTCTGTATTTAGTCAATGTTTTAATATGTGTAAGTAATTGATTTTTTGAAAAGCAGTCTATCTGTAATGCTTTGTGTTGTATTGTCTAAAGATGAAATTATTGAAGGGTGCATTTGATTTTGAAATTACTTTGGCATTTTTTATTAGTGGAACAGTTGGGGGAAAAAAACCATGTACAACCAATAGTAATTCAGAATATAAAACAAGTAGAACAAAAATATAAAATTAAGTAAACAATATTAATTAGTTAATCTGAAATCTGTGGTACAACCTTAACTATGATCATGATTGCTACTATGTTCTTAGAGAAAAATGTACATTGCACCTAGCAAAGTTAGGGGTCAATCCAGCTATAGTTTGCCTTTGTGACTGATGACTATTTCAGAGGGGTACTTCTCCCTTGAAAGCAGCTGCATAGCCCTAGATGACCATTAAGTAGCCCTCAAAGGCTACCAACTTCCTAGGGACAGAGTAAAAACCATCATTTCTTCCTGCTGTTCGTGCAAAGGATGTCCGTTACATTTGTACTGAACACTTGACGTCACTTGAAGCATAGCTCAACCTGCCTGATTTCAAGAATGTTTAAATTTTATCTGATGCACTATTTACTTAACTGTTTCCAACACAGTGGTGGCTCTTATTAGTCATTTGTACATTCCATTTAATCAGAGTGGATCAGAATTTAAATTTTTCCAGATCATTCGTGATTCAGTGACCATATTCTTTTTCACTCTGGGTGTACTTTAAATTATTGTTATTCAGTCTTTAAATATTTTTTATAAATTATTTGTAAACAGGCACGATGCAGTGAAGTACTGATACTCAAGAATAAGTTAGCAAGTTTCCAGTGTTAGGCATAGAACAATGAAGTAGGAGGCTTAGAAATGTTTTGTTTTGTTTTGCTTTCCTATTCAGTAAAACTAGTCAGATTAATATTATACCACAATGGCAACATCTGCCAGGTAAATAAAAACAAAATATCCTTCATTAGGTATTTCTGCCTCCTTTAACTAAAGCTGCATATATACTGTGAATGCCAGGAAATTCTGACATATGATTGGAGCAAACATTTCTGAAATCTCATGCGTTATTCTGTTTTAGCAACTTCACTGTGCGGTAGTTGGAAGTGAAAATGCCAAGCGATATTTTGAGGCAGTGCAAGGATCAAAGGAACATCAAGGCGAGCTTTTTGGGATCCATAACCTCTTCAAGCTTCGAACCCAGGGGTCCTGCCTTACAAAAGACATCCTGGAGGTGTGAAGCTTTCCTTCTGACTTTTGGACATTAGCTTTACATATTTTTTCCTCTTGAAGCATTTTACCATAGATGTGAATGTAGTGCCATGCAAAGCAGTATGGTGAAACTTGAAACAACAAATGCCTACATTGTGCTTTAATCTAGGGCTGTGAGTTTCTCACTTTTAGGCACATCAAAATAATTCCTCTAAAATAAACAAAAATATGGAAAATGTGGTCTTATTAAAACTTGCCAAGAACTCAAAGAAGTTCATTTCTGTTCCTAATAAAAATACCAAAACTGATTTTGTGATACTTCTGCATTTATTCATCTGTGTACACAGATGTATTTTATTTATCAGATACAGTATTTGTCCTTTAAATCAAATTTAAAATACTTTTTTACTATGAAAAAAGTGTTCTGATCTTGCTAACCTTCTGTTTAATGGCTATTAGTTGGGGTGGATAGACATGTTTCATATCATAGAATTATTGCATTTATGTGTCATATGCATACATTATTTCAAAATACAGTCTTAAAAAGGTTGAGTGGGGCATTCCATTCTTAAATCCCTATGTTTTGGTTGTTCTCAAATACTGTATTGAGCCAGATTCAGAGGGTGGTGTTGAATGAGGTAAAGTATGCATAATATGCACCTCTTTATGTCTACAGTATGTATGTTTTACCAAATAAGATTCCCTGAAACTATTTTCTTTCTCATATCCGACACCTCCACCCCTTATGTATCACTCCTCAATCTAGTTTGTGGCATATGAGGAGGAGGTTAGGAGCTAAGCTGGTATAAGTCACATGCTATGGACTAAAAGGTTAGTGTAGCTAATGAACAAAATCTTTAATACAAAGATGCAAGAAGACTCTGTAAGATAATGCAAGCCACTGTGCACTTTCACACAACTTGTTTATACCTGCTTCGGCTTCTTGATGAGTAAGATACCCCGATTTAAAATTCTATACCCTTGCGTGTGGATAAAGGAGTCTAATTTTATAATATGGGATACATTGCCTCTGAAGTTGGCCCATTGTGTTAGGAACTCTTTTAAACTGCGGAAGCCAGGACCCCATCACAAGCATTCTTAGTAATTTAACTTTAACGAGAGAGCTTCTTAGGCACAGTCTCAGCCAAAAGTGAATGTTTCTAGAAAGTTTATAAACAAAATCTGGCTAGCCATATTTTGGGAAAGTTACCTGTTTTGCACTTTGGGATACTCCAACTCAAATCTGTTTTGCTAGGAGGAAAACAATTCTGTCTTGGTATGTGCTTTAAATAGTCTTTAGTGATGAAAATACTGTGTGTCTGAAAAAAATGTTTTAAAAATAGTAAAATTTTGGATGTGTGTAGGATCTGCTCAATATGTATAATATGTCAGTTTTCTTACTCATTAGAGGCCTGATCTAACTGCCATTGAGTCTTTCCATCAACTAAAGTGTGGCAATTTGTTTGGGCCTTAAGTGTGAGTGGCCATTTTACTCTTGAACATGTGCACTTCCAGATAAAGACAGAAAAATTAAGCTTTGCCCTGTCTACCCATCTTACCTTGAAGACCACACATGCTGCCTTATTGTGTTGGTAATTTTTATTATAAAGTTTGCCTTGCTTGCATCTTTTCTTTTTTAGAGGGAGGGTCAAGTGGAAGCAGGAGTCATGACAGCCACTACGTGGCTAAAGGAGGAGCCACCATCATGCAGGTTAGAAATGGTGAGTTGTCTTTGTGCATGTCATACAACATGGAATGTGGGTGCTATTTTCTCCTCTCGTTCCAGCTAGTATGTTGAGCAAACATCTTTGACAATAACTAGACACGACATTTTTAAAAGATACAGTATGTAAGGGATATTATCAGAAAGAGAACATTGCTGCAACATGATGGTCTTTTGCTGCCTTTGGTTAGAATCTGCAAGAAGATAATGAATATCAGGCAAACTTCTGTTAATATGTTTAGTCTGTGGTAATATCCCATCATAATGCCTCTACAGTATTTCTTAAATACCATCAGACTGTCGTGTGTATATATTTTGTTAATGGATACTGTTGATGTAGAGGGACAGTTGCTCACTGAGCTATAGTTGAATTGCTGTATTCTGAATGGCTTATTTGACAAATGATTTGTTGGACCAGAACCTCAATTGATGTAAGTCGGCCTAGCCCCAGTGACTTTAGTGTCTGTTCACACCAACTGAGGAGCTGCCTCCTACTCTTCGACAGAGAATTTGAAGTAAAATTCACTCTTTTGCACAAAGGCCAAATAATTGGTCCTTGGATGGGGGGGGGAGGGGTATGTCGGAGACTCGGTTGTGCTCTGTGGTTAGACTGGGTGTCAGGCCTCGTAATTAGAACTGAAGTCAGGACAGGGTTACCTGGAAAGAGGCATGGCTGGGGCCAAGGCAGGAACAGGACTGGAACAAGCTGGCACAGAAGCTATCACAGCTGTGAGCAAATGCTTTGAGCAGCCCCTGAATGCTGCTGCTGGGCTTAAGAGCCAGTCTGCTGACTTTTGCAACCACTTGGGTGGTTTGGCCAATCAGAGGCATAACTATTAACGATAGTCAGTATGCTATAGCCTAGTAACTGATATAGTGGTCAGATCCCCTGTGCAAGTGGTTTGGGCTGCTTGATCCATATAATTGCAGATCCAGTAACCCCTCCAACAGGCCATCTTAATAACCTGTTCCTTACTGGCTTTTGGAGAAATGGTTTGGAGCCCCCATTTTGCAACATGCAGGGGTGCATTGGTTCAGCTGCATTGTCTTTTGGCCAGCACCGCTTCCTGTGAAGAGTTTACAGGCCTTCTGCACTTGGGTGAATTTTGCTCTTTATAAATAAGATAACTTCCTTTTAACTGAATAGTTTTTTCAACTTTGCCAGTAAATATGCACATACATATTACTGTGTTGTTAGTTATAATGGAGTCCATTTTGGAGTTATACTGGATTTTAAATTGCAATAAACTAAACTGTGTCTGTATCATAATTTTAATCTTTGAATCCATGAACTTTGTATCTATTTGGCTATGAAGGATTATTTTTGTTTTATATTTATGGTGAGCAGTTAGGGAGTGGGGTAGAGGGATTAAATATAGCTATAAACTAGGCAAAAAATACATATAACCTTATTGTGTGTTTGTGCCCCCACTGAGTTGACTTGTACTGTAAATTGGCCACAATCTCTTAAGCCAGATCTTCATAGGAAAATGTTGTTTTGTTGGTTGGGGTTTTTTGTGTAACCAGAGATATGAATTTACAGTGATATTGTGTATACCAGTGTAACCTCCATGCGGATTCTCTTATTCTGATGGTAGAGTGACCTTTTGCAGTTTAATTTCTCATTTGGGAAGGAGGTTTAAGCTAAATAAAGAAAGCTACTTTTATACCAGAATAAGCATGTCAAGACAATGAGTTATGCCAGGATAACTATATTGGTATATAGCTTTCCTATGCAGATAAGACCGTAATAATTTACCCTTCTGTAGTTACCTTCCACGTATATTTTGAAATATTTATGTACTTAGTGTACATAGTTCTGTTCCTGTTTTCTGAACTTCTTCAGTTTTGTACTTGGCTAGATGATGTGTGCTTGGCGACAATAGTCCTTAAGTGATTCTAGAGTAGAAGGTTATGTGTGCACAGCTCTTTAAAGCATTATAAATGGGAGCATTGGCCCCCAAATCCTAAAAGGTTGACCACCCTATTATGTGTTTTCCTTATAAATGATTTGATTATGTAGTGTTTTGGTTTGGACTGTTGAGTTGGTTTTCAACTTAAACAACTTGAAAGTTGCACCAAAATGAGTTCAAACTGTAAATGTAACAGTATGTTTACTGGACAAATGCAGGTTGTTCCCAAACAAGCAAACAATAGGTAGTATGTGTTATTGTCCCAAATATTTAACACAGTTTACTAATATTGGTGGGGGTTTTTTTGGTCATAATACACATGCTATTATTTGGTTAAATATTGTATTGCATACCAAAGCTTCCTATCTGTGTATTGAATATATACTTATTTTTGTATAGATTGGGTTTTATAATTTAGTGAAAATCCATTTTCTGTATTAGCGAGTCAAAGTTAGACATTGTTGTTCTACATATATTTTAAATAGCTTTTTTGTTTCGTTGTAATGTTAACTTCTGTGACAGTGATTTTCAGTATTTTTTTTTTTTAGCATGCAGAGCCAGGTTGTGAAGAAGATAAAGCTCCTCTCAAATCTAGAGAACAACTGGAGAAAGAGGAATTTGATTTTTATAGTGACTTTAGTGATGATGAACTTGTGGGAAGCTCAAAAACAAAAAAAAGCAGATTTTGCAATGCAAATGACATGCTAATTTCACAGAAACAGCTTACCTTAATGCAGTGTGGTTTTCCTAAACTGTTAGAGAGAGGAACTAAAGCTACTGAGGTCATTGATAGTAATGGTGCATCTGATCAAGAAAGCACAGATGCCTTGTCTGTGGGCCAAAGATCAAATGTAGATGTCAAGTGCATTGGTCTTCAGAAAAGTAGAAGCCATAATAGTATTTTGAGACATCGGAGAACCACTGAGCCACCAAATAAAACTGAAAAACAAGATATGCGTTGTATGATTGTAGCCCCAGATTGGCCTGTTTCATCTGACTCTGAGGGAAAAAAGGACATTGAAAATAAAAATGAAGATCAGTGCATTTCAAAGGAAATTGGTGTAGTCATGGAGACTGAAGGCAGCTCGGAAGAGAGTGATGATATCATCTTTCCTTCCCAAGTTCCAGCTCACCAAGAAACTGCTCCTGCTAAAAATGTTAAAAGATGTGAGGCTGTATCAGAAAAATTGGAAGGGTCAGATACAGAAAAGATCACTAAACATACACCTAAGGGAGACGCTTTGGCCTGTAAACAATCTCTGTTCCGTAATACTGGGTCAGTCTTCACCAAAACAAAGTCTTGGAAAAATACCCAAAAAATCACAACATATGTGAAAGGCACTAGTGACATAAGTGATGAGTCTGATGATCTTGAAATACCCATATGGTCCAAATCAAGAAACCAGAAAGCCTTCACTGCTCTTAGGTTGAGACAAAAATGTGACCGAAATAGGGAGTTCTGTAACTCTTCCAAAACTGTGCTGCAGGCGAACAAGCCAAACAATGGAGAAAAGGAAACGGATTCACAGAATATAGGTGAATTTTCATCCTCTGAAGATGATTCACCAGTCAAGAAAATTCACTTAAGTAAGCAAAGCCATAAGCACAAAAAACAGAGACGCAGAATTCAGTTTGACCCCAAATCAGCCTGCCGTGTTAGAGGTGCCTCAGTTACAGTGTCGACACCCAGTCACTCTCGTGTGCATAAGACCTCTAGAAGTAAGAGAGCATGTGTCAATCAAGAAGAAAATGTGGGATCACTGGACAATTTTTTAGGTGATTGTAAAATTAAGAGTTTTTGTTCAGTAATTTAGTGGTACAATTTAATATGGAGAAGTTTTTTGCAGGTATATTAAAGGTGTCACTCTGTCCTTGTTTATATCTGATTTATTAAGAGTTCTTTAATATTGTCCTTCCCTTTTTATAGGCCTTGTTGATTTCACTGATTATTTTTATCCTTGTCTCTTCTGATTTGGTGGGCCACTCTGCAATACAGTGGATGCTGCATAATAGCAACATTTTGCTGGGAATCAATCCCATGCTATTAACATTAATGTTAATGGGATTCAGATTGTTAATGGGATTGGCAACGGCATGATGCTTTATTGAGTTTTTTTGGAATAAAGACTCCAGCTGGTTTGTACGGCTGTAGCCTAGGAAGAAAATGCAGGGAAATGCCTTCCCTTGCTGCAGCCTTGAAGACCTGCTTGCACCTGCAGCCCCGCCCACTGGGGGACCTCTACCGGAGTCCTGGCACTGCAAGCTGGGAGGGGAGGCTGTGGGTGGGGCAGCACTGTGGAGTTGGGGGCTGCAGCCTTGATGCCAAGGCTTTCCACAGGGAGTTGGGGGTGCTGAGGTCACACAGAGCAGCAAGGTACTTCTCACCACTGCTCTCCTCCTCCCCGCAGCCTCCCATACCAGCCCACAAGGAGAGGTACTATGCAGCTCTACAAGTTCCCAGCACCCCTGTTCTCCTGACACTGTCCTCCCCCCAGCTTCTCCTCCCCTCAGAAAGCCCCAGCATCCAAGCTGCAGCCACCCTCTCCGTTGCTGCCTACCCCAGTGCAGATTTGGGGGGTACAGCCAGAGAAAACTCATCCCACTTCCTTCTCTGGCTGCAGTCCCACAAACTTGTCCTTCTGCTTATTGGCAACTGCCAGATAATGGCAACTTTTTGTTGGCAATCCAGGGGTGGCTAATAAGCAGAATCTACTGTATGCATATATTTCTATTTTGCTAAACATTTGCAATCATTACAAAAAGGTGCATTAATGTATGATACAATTACATTTTCTAATTTGGGAATGAATAAATCAGTTCTCACCATAATGTTAACTTTTTCCTGTTATCAGTAACTGGTAATATTATCACTGAATATTATTTGAAATATGTACTGTGGTATTGGTAGTATGTATAATATGGAGGAGTTGGGGCAATTAGTCCTTAACTTTGAGCATTCATCTTTTAAAAACTTTGGGTGCCTTGGAACAAAGTTTGTCATTTCTCGGTATGTAAAAGGAAATTTACTAAAATGGTTGCAGCATTTAAATGGATATTAGCACAACTGAAGGATTTAAGGACAAAGCCCTAGATTTTTTGAAGGTATTTAGGCTCCTAAATCCCTTTTGAAAATGAGACTTAAGCTCCTAAATCAGTTAGCCATTGCAACGCTGAGTGCAGCAATGCCTAAATACCTTTAAAAATCTGGGCCTAAGTTACAGCCTAACAAAATTTAGGATTTCCACGTTAACTTTATTAGCTTTTCTTTTAAAATTGCAATACATATCTATAATAGAGCTGATCTACCCATGCAGTATTTTGGAATGGCCAAAAGCGTTTGATTATACCTTTCTTCTCATGTATTAGATGGTGTTCAAGAAGTGGCTTATATTCATTCAAACCAGAATGTGGTTGGATCAAGCAAGGCTGAGAATCAGATGAGTAACTGGGCAGTGCGAGATGTGTTTGAGTTGAAGCAGTTTTCCCAGCTCCCTGCGAATATAGCAGTCTACTGTGCCAAGGTAAAGAGGAGGATTTGGGAAATGTTGTTTTGTTCTATTTTTATCCTCCTTATTCTTTCTTCAAACTTGGTTTTCTGTTAATGGCCACCATGAATGATCAAAGCCACTGATGGTGGGAGGAGGAGGAGTTTCAAGTGGAGGCCTAATAAAATAACATACTGCGGCTATTTCTGTATTGGTCAGCCTTGAAAGTGTTGGGAACTGAGTTGAACAGCACCCTCTGCTGGATTCTGTAAGACTGTCTCAGAAGTAATATGCTTATCTGTTTTAGAACAGAGATTGGGTACCTGAAATCTAATCCGGTGCCACATTTTCTCTGGTAATAGGACTTGGTTTGAGACCTGGAATCTTCAGTTTGCCTTTGGTCTAATTAATAAAGTAGCAAGTTACCAGAAGAGAAGGTTAACCTTCATGATATCCTTCACTAGGGCTGAAAAGTGTTTTAGTTAGAATCACTTACAAAGTCAAATACAAGTTTGCAGAAAGAGCTTTTTATGTCAAAATGTCTATTGTGATTAATTCAACTTTATGGGTTAGTGTAGTCTTCGTTAATTTAAGTCTGAAGTTGAAAATTGAATGCAAGCTTATTGAGAGCATTTCTAACATCTGCTTAATTTGTAGCGATGACTGTTTTTATGCTTTACAGCCATTACGTTTCATGTTAAATTACATTTGGAATAGAGATAAGCCTGAGTCTAAACTCTGATAAAGCTTCAAGTTTATATTTCAAACCTATTCTTTATTGGTTTTAATCTGCATTCCTGAATGCTGGGGCATTCTGATTTGGATCCAGATTTCAGACACTTAAGTGGGAATGTTCACATCCAGGTTTTTGGTTGGGGGGTTCATGTTTAATCTTTACAAATAGATAAATTGATGGTGTCCATCTAAATCCAAATTAATCTGACCATTCCCCAGTCATTTTATTGCATACTACAAATATCTGTAGTTCCCCTAGACTGATCTCCAGGAACCACAAATGTTAGTAGCCTAGAGCAAATGCTTGGGGGTACATTCAGTTTAGTCTTCACAGATGTGTTTAACTACTATGAATAAACTAACAATCATTTAACTCAAGGCAAAAACTCTAGTCTGGATCTACATATATTAGGTCATTTCCATGCATTTCCTCATTAAGAGGTGTGCTTCCAGTACTATTGATGTACGGTAATTAATTGTTCTATTAACAAGAGGTGTTGCAGCAATATTATGCTGGGAAGATCAAACTAAGCCAATCAGCAATAAGTGAGATCTTTTCTGTAGTAAAAGTATTTGCATTTGAATCTCTCCCCTAAATAGACCATCAGATAAAAATACTCAAGAATACCACAGAAAGACCCCAGCCCCTAATAGCCAGGATTGACAACATCACTAGAATGCAGGACAAATGAAAGAAAAAATTGAGGAGAGTAGTGGGGCTTAATGACTCTAACGACAGCTGTATCTCAGATATTAGGCTACGGGAGTTTAGAGGCTTTTCTGTTGTTCATATGATTTGTTTCTCATTACATCCAAGTTCAGAATTGTCATGCCCACAGGTGTTACAAATTAATTTATCTCTGGTTAGTTTGTCAATCGATATGTTTCAAGGGTATCTGGTTTCTTAAACCAGAAGCAACAGTAACATCAATTAACTTGGAGATCTAAGTAGGAAGGAAAACATCAATAATGGTGGGGAAAACTGCCAGTTGACTTCATTTCCTGTTTTTACTCTGACGTAAAGGCATTAATTTAGCAGTAATTGCTAGATGTCTGTCTCTTCTAAAATGTAGAGCTCTGAGTTTCACATGCTCTTCTTAAAGAGCTGCTAATGCCTCGTAGAAACTTTGAAAAATTATCCACTTTTAGAAACATCTCTGCTGCTACTTTTTCTGTTTTCTCCTTTCCTTGTTTCTTTATTTTTATTACCAGGACTTTGTATGAAAAACAAATTATGTTTGCTCTGGTATTCATCTCTTTTTGCTATTTATTTTTCACTTATTCAGTCAGTTTAGGACATTGTAATATTACAGTTAGGTGCCGTGACAAATACTGCAAAGAAAATTGTGAGGAATCAAATGAGGAATAGTCAAGAAAAGAAACATGCAAATTACTCTAGTGTTCTTAAAAACAGGTTGAAGTACTATCAACCAAACAAAATTCTTAATGAAAAAATCTTGTGGAGTCATGGGGAGTTTCAAGTTTAATCCTGGTAGAATTTTTTGGTATGTTCATTTTATTCTCATAGTTCTCAAAACAAGGTTAGAAGATTTTGACAGAACAACTGAATGTCCTCGTGAAAGATTTGACTCTGCTCTTCAGAAGCACTGCCTTGCCATCTGTTTACCAGAAGTTTCCATATGAGTTAATGTTCTCTTCGATTTCTATGTTCACACTCCTTAATCTGATTTTTTTTAATATAGGGATTTTTTTGTGAATTTCTCTTTTGGTATCTCCTATAGATCTTAGTCCTCTCAGCTGATTCCTCAACTCATGTACAACCTAGCATGAAAAAATCTGTAGTGTGTTACATTTTACCTCTGGCCTCTTAAATATCTGTTCTGGGTTTGTTTTTTGGCGGGGTAGGGTTTTTTTGTTTTGTTTTTACAGTTTCCGCTTTTTTTTTTCCCCCTAAGCATCTTTGGAGAAGGATTGACCATCAGAATAATCTGATTTTCTTTCCTGTAGCAGATCAGTCTCTTCTCCTGGGCATTAACAAAATATCCCTTCTTATTCCCTTTTCCATGCCAACTTCTTCATGTTAAATTAATGTTTTTTATAATGTGTGTGTAATGTTACACTTTCAACTTTATAAAGCTGAAATTTATAAACACATTTCTGATAGAAAATAGAGTTATATCTCTAAAAGAAAGGGATACAAAAATATTAAAAGATGTCTAAGACACACCAAGGAAATGGTCAACTGCAGTAGCTGAATTTTAGAGCAAGAAATAAAATGCTTCGGGAAAATTAGGCTTGATTGGAGATATTTCTTTATTTCTGTCACCCTTGAGAAAATTAGATTGAAGGTGGAGAAACAGTATATATTATGAGTAGGGCTGTCAAGCGATTAAAAAAATTAATTGCAGTTAATTGCGTGATTATTCGCACTGTTAAACAATAATAGAATGCCATTTATTTAAATATTTTCTACATTTTCAAATATATTGATTTCAATTATAACACAGAATACAAAGTGTACAGTGCTCACTTTATATTGATTTTTATTACAAATATTTGCACTGTAAAAACAAAAGAAATAGTATTTTTCAGTTCACCCAATACAAGTACTGTAGTGCAATCTCTTTATCATGAAAGTTGAACTTACAAATGTAGAATTGTGTACAAAAAAAATCTGCATTCAAAAATAAAACAATGTAAAACTTTAGAGCCTACAAGTTCGATCAGTCCTACTTCTTGTTCAGCCAATCCCTCAGACAAACAAGTTTGTTTACATTTGCAGGAGATAATGCTGCCCACTTCTTGTTCACAATGTCACCTGAAAGTGAGAACAGATGTTCTCGTTGCACCTTTGTAGCCGGCATCGCAAGATATTTACATGCCAGATGCACTAAAGATTCATGCTTCAACCCACCATTCCAGGGGACAGGCGTCCATGCTGATGACGGGTTCTGCTCGATAGCAATCCAAAGCAGTGCAGACCAAAGCATGTTCATTTTCACCATCTTGAGTCAGATGCCACAAGCAGAAGGTTGATTTTCTTTTTTGGTGGTTCGGGTTCTGTAGTTTCCGCATCAGAGTGTTGCTCTTTTAAGACTCCTAAAAGCATGCTCCACACCTCATTCCTCTCAGATTTTGGAAGACATTTCAGATTCTTAAACCTTGGGTCGAGTACTGTAGCTATCTTTAGAAATCTCACATTGGTACCTTCTTTGTGTTTTGTCAGATCTGCAGTGAAAGTGTTCTTAAAATGAATAACGCGCTGAGTCATTTTCTGAGACTACTATAACATGAAATATATGGCAGAATGCGGGCAAAACAAAGCAGGGGACATACAATTCTCCCCCAAGGAGTTCAGTGACAAATTAAATTAACAGATTATTTTTCTGATGAGCGTCATCAGCATGGAAGCATGTCCTCTGGAGTGGTGGCTGAAGCATGAAGGGGCATACGAATGTTTAGCATACCTGGCACATAAATACCTTGCAATGCTGTCTACGAAAGTGCCATGCGAACACCTGTTCTCACTTTCAGGTGACATTGTAAATAAGAAGCTGGAAGCATTAACTCCTGTAAATGTAAACAAACTTGTTTGTCTTAGCAATTGGCTGAACGAGAAGTAGGACGGAGTGGACTTGTAGGCTCTAAAGTTTTGCATTGTTTTGTTTTTGAGTGCAGTTATGTAACAAAAAAAATTAACATTTGTAAGTTATACTTTCACGATAAAGAGATTGCATTACAGTACTTGTATGAGGTGAATTGAAAAATACTGTTTCTTTTGTTGATCATTTTTGCAGGGCAAATATTTGTAATCAAAATAATAATATAAAGTTAGCACTCTATACTTTGTATTCTGTGTTGTAACTGAAATCAATATATTTGAAAATGTAGAAAAAAATCCAAAAATATTTAATAAATTTCAGTTGGTATTCTGCTGTTTAACAATGCGATTAAAACTGCAATTAATTGCGATTAATTTTTTTGAGTTAATTGTTTGTTAACTGCGATTAATCGACAGCCCTAATTGAGTCAAGACAACATGCTGTAAGAATATTTAGTCTGAGTTTTCTTCAGATTATATTATATCGTTCTTTGATTAAACCAATACATGAATTATTATATGAATGCTCTGTAGCAAGAATTCAGCCAAATGCAAACTGAAAAAACAATAGCTAATATGGTAGCTGGATGAACACGACTGCAGCAAAAAATCAATCAACAGAGGAAATAAGAAAAGCTGAGTATTTACACAGACACTTTTCATTCATGTACTGAGTGTGAATGGGTTTATCAATCCTGTGTACCTGAGAAGTAAAGAAGGGATTAATGCATGCACTAAA